AACCATCTCCATGCTATGCAATCTTTGTACATCCAATTCATATTCATTCAATAGATTGTAACCAATTACACAAATCATTCCAGTACTATTCTATTCACATATAGCGTACAATCTGTGATAATATCTATGAATCATTCAGTTCCAACCACTATATACCTCTCATTGTACATTCCAACTAACAATAACGGAATTTACTACAAACTCCAATCAATCATTCATTCATCGATTGGTTATTCCAGTACTAAGTATCAACAGTATTGTTCCTGTTACTCAGAATTAGTTATTTTATGAAAATGGATTTAACAGAATCAAACATTGTGTTAAACCAATGAAATGACAGAATTGTGTTTGTCTGGATTTTGTTTGTTATGAAGCAAAACTATGCATGATCTATGTAATTCGTATCAGGATGTACTAAAACAGATCCCTGTGAAATATCATCATTTCAGCTATTGTTCGTCATAATTTGTGAAAATGACTTCATTTCCATTGCTACTTCATATATATGTTATTTTCTACTATTCTATTACATTCTAGTATTGTTGTTGTTTTCATTCATATTGGCCATTTCTGATTATTCCACACTTACCTATCTTATTTTCACAGTATTCTATTCCATGGAGTATACTAATGAGCCAAAATATACAATCAATCACAAATACACATTATTCTATCTTCCCATTCAGAACAATAATGATGATGATGATGACAAAACATCAACTATTCACAATTAATACTATTGAGAATAACTATTGTGCAGACACTTGTTTGTTAATACTGCTCATTCCTTCTCTCAGATTATAACACGAACTAGCAACATTATTAGTGGTCACATTTAGAATGTGAATTCATTATGGGATTTGATACAATTCATATCACACAATATGCACTAAAATGAAACAATACACAATTGTTGTTATTCTATTGCAGATATTCCTTTTCCAAGTATTGATTCAAAGTATCTCGAGACTATAGTATACAGATTAGTCATATATCAAAGGAAATACAACAATACTTGTGGTAAATGACTGATTCATCCTTCCTATTTCTATTGATGAGTTCATCTATATTTGATACATGTCACATAACAAAAATGATCCTATTTTCACAATAACAAAAGCTCTTTCGATCAATAATAATATGCTTTATCAACTTGAAGCCATCAATAACCTCATTAATATGGAACAATAGTAGTAAGAGAATGGCACTGTTTGCGTGAAACCTGGTGGCAGTTTTCTTTATATGCTATTTTGTTCCATGACAACAATTGCGATCCTTTGTCTATTGTTGTAATCGACCAACCGATTCTGAGTCCTCGACTATCGTTCCTAGGCTGTCTAGTCGACAATCATCGGTCAAGAACCAGGTTTCATGCTTTCTTACTCCAATTCGTTTTTACTATCAACCTAGTGCTCGTTTCTATTGTTGTGTTTGTTGCATCAGTTATACTTGAATGCAAGAAAGTAGTAGACATACCTAGCTAAGGTGAATTATTGTTATTTCTCTCGTATTTACATGTTTGTTTGCTTATTTGTAATGACCGAAACCCAATGTGTGTACATTGTCATCACAAATCCATCTATTGTTGTCCATACAAGTCATAAGTGTCTTTGGTAAAGAGAGAACATGCATTATTCCATTCTCATACAAGATTCACCTATCAATGGTTCAATCGATTCAATCAATCCTTACAAGTTCAGAAATCCATATATCACTTCCATGACTGTTCTATCCTTACCCAATCAAGTCATGTTCAATAATGTGGACTCAACCAATGTGGTGACAAACACCAATGGTGAAGAGATAACGATCTCGCCTGGTTATTATACACTGAGTGAAATCATTGCCATTCTGAACACCATAATTAATACTACATTCTCAATTTCCACAATGGATACAAGTTATGAGTGTATTTGGATCCAGTCTCCATACTCTATTGATTTCACGATTGCTTCAGATGTACTAGAGATATTTGGGTTAGGAAATCACATGATTGTATTCCCTGCTTCGTTCTATGGATCGAATGTGATTGATATCACGCGAAATTGTTAAGTGATTCAAGTGTATTCATCGTTGGTATGATCATCTGATTTGAAAACCGCTAATCAGAACAACAATTCACTCACCACAATGATCATGGATGATTCTGAAATCAATGATATCAATACTGTAAAAGAAAAATGTATACCGATGATTCACCGATTTGATCGATTGATGTTTGTGTTCAAGGAGATGAATGGTAATATCATACATTTGAATGGTGAATTCGAATTCCAATTGACGATTGAAGATGTGTGTGATCAATTGCATACTCCAGTTCCATCGACCAACCAATTCAGTATGATTGAAGTATTTGGACACAATAGAGCAAGAAGGAGATAAAATTGGATAATCCTCTATCATTCGATTAGTGTTACATATCATTTGTATCATTCTATACCGATTTCACATTCCATAATGTACCATCTGATCAAGTAGTAGTGATCAATGGAGATAGAACAGATGAAAGTGTAATATCGATTTCACGAGGTACATATGATATCAAAACAATCATCGCAATATTGAATGCGAGTGATGCTCTATTTGAAGTAGTGTATAGTGGAGAAAATGCATTTCGAGTCTATAACCAGTTTGTGATTCTTCCTCTGACACAACTTATTCATTCCTTGAATAATGCGATTCATTTGTCCATGTGTGTGTGGAGCATGAATGAGATCAAGGAACTATGGAAACCAGCAAAACGAAGAGGTGCCACTCGAATGATCATCAGTGGGTTCAAACGAAACATATACTTCATCGATCTTATCGATTTCTCTTCCAAACAAAACAAATCAATACAGAAAGTGTTGGGATAACAATAGTACATCGGATTCTCGTTCAAGTGTTGGAAAACGATTGTGATGCTCTTCACACCTCCCAGACATACAAAAGAAGGGATATTCGTGAATGAAGAGATCGTATGACTCTCACTTGTCCATTCTATTCCATTTATCAGTTTGGTATGGGAAAGGGTCACAAGATTGTTGAGTGTATCGATGAATGGCATATCGAGCAATCACACACCATCCATTGAAACATTCACCTTGTATCCCTTACCCACAATCGATTCGATGGAATCACAATGATTGAATAGGACATCATTCTCATTGTAACATGGAATCGATGTGATTATCAGATATAAAGCAGAAGATAATTGGAATTGGCATTGATTATTGAATGGTTGAGTGGATGTATGTGTATGTTCAAACAGTTTGGCATTATTGACTTTCACAAAACACCCAGAAGGTATCGTCCATGAATATTGAGGAACGCCATCCACTGTCTCACACACGAGGACATGTTTGCGGTCATTCTCTGGCATATTGATGATCATGTTATCGAGCTTCTTGAACGTGTAATTGTTTGGATTGCTGCTTAAGATATATGATATTTATTCATTCAATTTACTTTGGTTGATTTCGCTCATAGGATTTGACATATACACCCTTCAGACAAGCTCCATTCATATTCGAATATGTGAGCATGTTGAATGAGAAACGAGCCAAGTCCAATACCACTGTGAAGAAGAACCTGTACAAGCTGTTGGCAAATTCCACCTATAGCATATTTGTGGAGATTGGATAGAAACGAATGAAAGTGAAGTTTGCCACCAAATGGAATGAACGTGAGGTTATCATCCAAAAGCATGGATACGATATGATCACCGGAACCAACATGTATTCCGAGAATCTGATCGGTATCAAGCTGAATACACCGATACGCAAGGTCGAAAAGCCATACTTCATCGGGTTCGCCATTCTGGACATGTCCAAACACATCATCTATGATTTCTACTACAATGTGCTCAAGAAAACATACAATAACGTGGAATTACTCGGATAGAACACAGAATCGCTCATCGTACAACTGATCGACAAGGGCAACATCGTTCACAAGAGGTGTGAGATGGACAAGTCGTTTGATTTCTCAGAATTGGTTAACACGAGTTACTACTATGGACAAATCGTGAACCACTACGAGCAGAAAGATGATAAGAGCAAGTTCCCTTCGCTGTCATCATTCCCAACTTCAACAAGAAACTAGCGGGACCCATTATGAAGGATGAACACAATGGGCATCACAACACCGAGTTCGTGGGTCTAAAACCCAAAATGTACTGCCTCATGGATGAGAAGCATGTGATACACAATGCAGCAAAATAAGTTCCATGCAACGTGGTAATCGATGGTGAGAGAATGAGTGGAAAGAACATCAAGTTGTACAAGCGTGTTTTTGAGGCAGAGAGAAAGGGATATACAATCATTGATTGCTCCTTCAAACGTATCAACATCAAGGGCTTCGATATCACCACGAAGGAGCAAACCAAGACACTCATGACGGCGCATATAACAAGAGATGGATCTTGGATAACAATGTGCATATACTCGCATTCGGATATTATCGACTATCGAGTGTTTAAAGAAGAAGTTGTTTTTTTTAACTTGGACAATCGTGGAAGGATGTAGGGGTTCCAACACTTGTACCGGTTGATCCATTCGAACGTGCCGTTACTAGGTGAGCCTTGGAGGAGCATGGAGTAGTGTAATAGAATCTTAGATTTGCCGTGTATGGCCTTTCTCTATCATGGACAGCAGAACGAGCAGGGGAGGAGCGCGCTGACCGGGAGGACCGGGAGGACTGGAGTGACGCGAAAGACGCAAAATGGACATCCATGGTCAAAATTGGCTAACTATGAACGCTATGGATTTTTGCGTCTTAAACGTTATTTCCGTACTATTGTCGATGTTATTCGTAAAATGCTCATCCACACCGGTGTGGTAAGCAAGGAACTATAGAGTATAGGAGAATGAATAAATTGCAGCGATAGAGAAAAATAAACCGTTGACAACGATTTCACAGAATTACTTCTTTTTTTATCACATCGCCCTCTCGTAACCTTCCACAAAATCGTTCTTGCTCCCACACCTCACTCCATCGCTGCATTCTCCAACAAACACCTCACTACCACATAATAAATGACCAAAACCCTTTCCATGCATGTCGCTCACTTCTTCCCCTTCTTCCCCTTCAAATGATGCTTCGCCCTCCACGCGGCGCGCTTCTCTCCGCGCTTGTCCTTCTTGAGTCGTCGATCCACGACCTTCACTCCGCGTCCGCCCTTGGCTCCCTTCTTCCCCACCACATACGTTTTCCCTGGATGTTTCACGTCCTTTCCCTTCATCAGCTTCTGAATCGCCTTCAGCTTCGCGCTGTCCGGCATGTCCTCGTCGTTATTAATGCTGTCAATCTTCGCCTTCTGCTGCTTTCGGAACCGCTCCACGCGTCTTCGCTTCCGCGCCATCGCCTCGCGCTCCTTCTTGATCGTTCGATCGTCGTTCTGGAACTGCTTCCGCAGCCTCGCCATGATCTCCTGCGTCATCGGCAGCTGCGGGCGATTGTACTTCCGCTCGTCCTCCAGGAACCACTCCGGCAGTCCCGCGGGGTCGTTGAACATGTACCGGTTGTACGAGGAGTCGATGAGGTCGTTGGCCGTGCTGTGCTTGGAGAGAAGGAACCCCAGCGACAGCGCTTCCAGGTGTTCGTCCGAGCCGATTTTGGGCTTGTTGGCCTTCACCACTTCCAGGTCGCCGTACGCCGAATCGTCCGTTTGCGAGCCCAGGCCCGCTTTGATCATCGCTTGCCGAGCCAACTGGTCCTCCGTTAGATGGCTCGTCGCCTGCGGGAACCCCGTTTCCACGATCTCCAGATCCGCCTTGGCCTCTTTCTCCTTCTTCTTTCGCTCCTTCTCGAGTCGCTTCACGCGCTTTTCATGTCGCTTTTCTTTATCCGATTTGGGCACATCGAGCAGAGGCGGCACGTATTCTCCGTCCGCGATTTGGCTCCCGTCGATCTTCGGGGCTTCCGCGAGCAGCTCCGCGTCCTCCTCGTCGTTGTACGCTCGCAGCCGATCCGCCAGCGGCAGCTCGCTCTGCGGCCGCTTCTGCGACTTGCGCGCCTCGCTTTTCATCGCGGCGATCGCGTCTTCGTCCGAAGAATCGGAGGCCTCGTCGTTCAGGGAGGCGAAGAGCGGGTCGCTGAACCAACGCTGACGACGCAGCGACGCCGAGGCTTCGTCCGAGGAATCGGAGGCCTCGTTCTCCTCGATCTCCTCGTCGCTGCTGGCTGCAGACTCGGTCATGCGAGTGGATTTCTTTGATTTCGATTTCGATTTCTTGACAGTCTCATCGTCCGATTCGCCGGTTTCGCTCATACTTTCATCGTCGTTTTCATCCTCCGCTTGCTTCATCAAATCTTCCTTCTTGATCTCCACTTCCTTCTGATACAACTCGTCCAGTTTGTGCTACACGTCACATCCCCGCGGCTTTCCCACCAATTCCCGCAGTTTCTGCGCGGGCAATCCCTTCTTCTTCTCCAGCTCCTGCAGATATCGCTTCTCATTAGCGGCGTGCCGCATTTTATAGTTCTCGTACAGATTGTCGAGCTGCGCTTGCAGCACTTCCATCTCGTCCACGTCGCTGTCCTCTTCCTTCTCTCCATCCTCTTCTGCCTCCTCTTTCTCCCCATCGATCCAATCCAGCGGGTTCTCTGCCTTGTTCAGATCCACATCGCCCAACTCGTCTCGCTATCGCTCACTCTCTCTCCTCTTTCTCTCCTACCTCCACGCGACTCAAATCCGTTACGCTGAACACTTGATCGCCCAAATCCATCACAGGCGTTTTGTCCATGCCCAGCAACCGACGCTTTCGCTCCTTCGCTAGACGCTTTCGTTCCTTCCGCTCCTCACGGCGTTTCTCCAACTATCCATTACTCCGTTTCCACGTTTCTACCGCTATACGCTCGCGTACTTCCTGCAACTCGCTCTCCACGCTCTTCTTCTCCTCTTTCTCTTCCGTTTCCCCGGTTTCTCCTGTTTCTCCAGCTTCCCCGGTTTCCCCGGTTTCCCCGATTTGCTGGGCAGGATGTTGCATGGACTGGATCAACTCCTTCTTCTCTTTGAGCATCTGCAATCGCCATTTGAGCAGCATTTTGAAATCGTTCTTGTTCAGCACGCGCAGATCGCTGCAGCAGGCGCGCACTTCCTCCGTCGTGAGCGGACTCTCCAGGAACGCCGCGCTGTCCTCGTCGAATCGCAACTACCATCGACCGGTTTCTCCGTTTCTACCTCGTGAGCCTCGCTGAGAACGCGAATCGGGTCCGAACGCGTCATAAAATCCTTCACCGAAATCACACGCTTCAGTCCCAGACCCAAATCCTCGTCGTAGCCCTACACGCTCACCGATCGGGGTTGATCGTACCTCGCGGAATCGCTTTCGCGGGTTCTTCGAGGCAAACAGATTCACTTCTTGCTTGGGGGCTCCCACATGCTTGAAGGCGTAGTCCGGGTTGAGGAATTTGGGGTCGATGTAGGATGGCGCTTTGTAGTTCTGGACGTTACTCACGCGGGGATTTCACCTACCTGGCACACCACGAAAATTTCTGCAGATTCGGTACGCGAAGCAGCGGGCTTGGTGGCCTGCACCTTCTCGAAGAGCTGGTTGAAGATATAGATGAGAGCGTGGTAATCCGCAGAACGGAACACCTTCGTGACGAATGTCGCGCCCTTCGTCATGAACTCCACCGCCAAACGGAGCGAGTGAAGGACCAGCGAGTTCTACTCTGTGAAACAGACACATCGCGCAAACCTGGTCAAACGCATCCTTGCTCCAACCTCCTCCTACATTCGGAGCACCATCGTGCAGCACTACGTCAGCCTATTCCATAACATCGCCATAATCAAAATTACATGTTTTCCGTGCAATTCTCTTTTTATCACGTCCCTACAGCTTAACGTCGTAATGTCCTCTTGAAATGTCTTGACATTGTGTATCGGCTTAATAGGAAGCAAATCCACGCCAATAATCGTGCTTTCGATGGGCATCTGCTTTGCTGCCACTTGACACCTACCAAATTACAATCCAACCGTGCCATTCTACCATCCTCCTGGAGCTGCACAGAGATCAATCAACACGTGAGCTTTTGATAAGAAGTTGAACTGACGATTCAACTGGATAAGCTTAAAAGCAGAACGAGCTCGGTAGCCCTGCTGCTTAGCAAGGGCGTACCACTTATCTCCTGTTCTCTGTGCCTTTTTGGTCATCGATAAGGAAATATGGGTTTGAAACAAGTGTGGCTGAAATAAGGTAGGAACCGCGGTATTGCGAATTCAAATTGCATGGAAGTGGATGATGTATTTCACGGATTGCAGTACCTTCTTCACGCCATCTCTATCCAAAGAATACAAAATTACCCATTTTTCGGTGAATAAGAAAAACAAAAACTGTACAGTGATTCACTATAATAATAATAAGGAACAAAACCTCCGATTTGTTTCCCCATGTTCTCATTCATTATTTGATCAATCAAACAACATTATGCTTGCTACCGTAGCTAAGACCTTTACGAGACCTGTAGGCAATTTGGGAGCTGTTTGGGAGAACTTTTGGACTTACCGCTCTCTAGGCAATTCGCGCTTTCTCTGTTTCCGCAAATATCGCTCACACTCCCCTGTTCGATCTCCATAACGAGCTCAAGGGCAAGATTGTGGAGTTCGCTGGATATGCTCTGCCTGTGCAGTATTCCGGAGTGCTTCCCGTTGTTCTTCGGTTTCCTCTTCATTCTAGGAGCATATGGCCGTGAGAGGAAAGAACACCTGCGGTCTGTTCGATGTTTCCCACATGGGTCAGATCAAGTGAGTTTCGACGATGGGGATGAGTGGCAGGTGGACTGGAAAGGACCGTGTTGAGTTCCTGGAGCGCGTTCTTGTGAGCGACATCCACTCTCTGCAGCCCACTCAGGGCCGTTTGACTCTGCTGTGCCAGGAGGACGGTGGTATCATCGATGACACTGTGATCACCAACGCCGGCGACTACCAGTACTCCTTGTGTGTTGTGTCGATTGCAGCTACGAGGTGGTGAACGGCGCCTGCAAATACGGCGACATGGAGCACTTCAAGAAGGAGATGGCCAAGTTCCAGGCCGAGGGCAAGGAGGTGCAGATGGAGTACCTCGGCGACATCGGTCTGATCGCTCTGCAGGGCGCCATGGCTCCCGCGGTTCTGCGCCGCTTCACGGAATTCGACGTGACGAAGATGCCGTTCATGACGGGTCAGGACATCAAGGTGGGCGGCGTGAACTGCCGCGTGACGCGCTGCGGCTACACGGGCGAAGACGGCTACGAAGTGCAGATCCCCGCGGCAGACTCGATCCCGCTGGTGAAGGAAATCCTGAAGGAGAAGGAAGTGCTGCCGTGCGGTCTGGGAGCGCGCGATTCGCTGCGTCTGGAGGCGGGTCTGTGTCTGTACGGCACGGATCTGAGCACGGCGGTGTCGCCGGTGGAGGGCACGCTGATGTGGACGATCAGCAAGCAGCGCCGCGCGGATGGCGGGTTCATCGGACACAAGGCGATTATGGAGAGAGTGGGGCGAGGGAAGCGGCGGTGATGATTGTAGATGAAGACGTGCGAGAAGAAGCGAGTGGGATTCATGGTGCAGGGCGCGCCCGCGAGACACGGAGCCAAGATCTACTCGAACGGCGAGCTGGTGGGAGAGATCACGTCGGGCACGCTGTCGCCGTCGCTGAAGAAGCCGGTGGCGATGGGATACATTAAGAAGGGACTGCACACGGCTGGAACCCAGGTGGAGGTGGAGGTGCGCAACAAGAAGTACCCCGCTGTGGTCACCAAGATGCCGTTCGTGCCCAACAATTATTATAGAGGATAAGAAAGAAATGTGTGAGTTTGTTTGTTTGAAAGAAAGAGAAAGAAAAAGAAAAAGGGGGATGGTGGAATGATGGAGGAAGGAGCGGGGAATATGAACGTTGACGGGAAGCAGATAGTTGTTTGAAACGGAATAGAATAGAATAATCCACTAAACGTTTTGAAATGGCAATAGAAACAAGGAGCAGTTGCCTTGTTAAGCAATATTTTATCAAATACTCACAATACTATAAAGAACCCTTGATAATGCCACACCAATAAGGAAGTCAATTCACCACAACGTATATTAGGAACCCATATCCACTTCCACTTCCCTCATCTCCCCCTCCTTCTCATGTATCAAACAAACAAAACACAAAGTAACGAGTGAAAAGAAAAGGAAATAAAGCAGGGTTGGGAAGAGAACAAGGCCCCGTCGTGTGTTATCCATGGATTTTGACAAAAAGACGTTGACCGCTACAAAATCAAAACATGCAACCACACCCACTTCTCACAGACCAAGCCACTCCAAGCAAACGGAACACCATCAGGCCAAACACTTTGGAATAGAACAATTGTGGGACAATCGACATGATATACACTGGAAGCAGAGAGTAACCCAAAGCACACGCCATTTGGAAGAAAGAGCTATCTTGAAGGTTTTCAGACGAGCCTACATATTCACTCTCAAGAGCTTTGCGTTGACTGCAATGACGAAAGCTCCAAGCCACTGAACAATGATGAGAGTAGAAAACACCACGGAAGAATCATATTTCGAGGTGATGATATCACTGCTATAGCTACAGTTAACGAACAGTAGGAATTGAACAGAGAAAACAAAATTCCCAGGAGAAGTGGTCCCCAAAGGTCCCCTAGTCGTTAGTGAATCTCCAAATACACAATACAATCATCGATATGCTTCTGGACATCAGGATGAACTACACTACGCAAAAACACAATCTTGATCTTTGCAAGCATAACAGTAAAATCCCGTTTCTACAAATCATCGATGCAGCACAACAAAAGGTACAAATGTATCATAAACAGATTCATTCAGAGTTGAACTTTCATAGTTCATCTCACGTGTTTCCATATTTCCACCTACAAGAATCAATGCATAAATAGCGTAATACTCATGGCAGGTTGACAAATGTAAAAAACAATGCAGAAAAAATATTATCAGTATTTATAAATAGTACGATGTGATTTTTGCAATAGTTGGTGTATTTTCGAGAGAACAGGTCCATTTGCACTATTCACCGGTGATGCATTTTTGATATTTGAGCCAATATAATTGCATGCTCCCAATATCTTTTGATTCGTTTCTTTCCTTGATGAATAAGGGTGGAAAATACCCTCTATTTTTGGCATCTGCGAGTTTATCCACATATTTTTTACTTTTGCAATTTGAGATGATCTATTTAATCACTTCTTACACCTATCAGTCATTCCTTCACGGAGGAAAGCAGTATGTGTTGTTTTGAGTCAAATCAGTGTTTAGGTCCCATGCTGTTTATCAAAAGTATGCTGAGCGCGTCGTTGCTCCTGGATGCTACGGAGAATGTGAATAGCGTGACTAGTTGATAAACAAACAATAATCTCAAATTGGAATGTTTTTTGAATACATAACTTGGGAATTGGTTGAATGAGTTCTAAAGTACGCGTTCGCTCCCGTCGCAAACCAAATCAAATCAAACCAGACTATTCTTCGTTTTCACTTTCTCTCTTTTCAGAATAAATCAAGATCGCTTGAGCCACAGCCTGCAAACGAAGCGAGAGAGATGCGACTTCCACTTCACTTTTCATCAATTCTTGGAACAGCTTCAAAGCATTCAGCGAAGTCGCCTTCATTTTGACTCCTTCCAGCAGCAAGCTCATTCCGTTATTCCAAATCGCATACGCGATCGACTCTTTCTCCTCTGAGTAGGGCACTGCGCTCAAAACCTGCACAGCGTGATCGAAACACTCTCCAAACTCGCTCAAATCATGACATCCCACGACATATCGAAAGAACACCACGAACGGCAGCGAGCTCTGCGCTAACCGCTTTTCAATCAGCTCGCTCCACATCCGATTCGCCTTTTCCACGATCGTTTTCTTCTCACTCGTTCGTTCGTAGAGGCGTTTCAGCACACCGACACGCAGCTGCACAGTTTCGAATCGAACCTCCTCGCCGTCGTGTCGATTGGAGGACACAAACGCGAGATCCTGATCGAGCAATCGATGCACGACTTCATTTCCAGTGTCTCCTCCCTTCGGATCGATCATAGCGATGAGGAGGACGGTGAGTTCGTTTGTTTGCTGCAATACTAAACGATTGGTTGTTTCGTTTCGATGCGAGTCGGGAAGGCGAAGGGGGTACAGATCGTACAGCAAGGAACGCCACTCTCGAAGCTTTTCGAGCTCGTTTAGAGGCGCGTGCTCGCGTTCCAGGACTAAAAAGGCGTCGCCTGCGAGCTCTTCCAGCAATAGAAGCTTTCGCAGGGAAGATTCCGCGATGACTTTTGAACGAAGCTTCGACGAATTCGAAAAGGACGAAGTGGGAGCTGCGGAGGGAGCGAGGCTTGCAATGGCTTCGAACAGAACAGAGAGAAGGGATTTCATAGGCGGAAGAATCAATTCGGTGGGCTGAGAAGTAGAATCGGAGGAATGGAACCACATGGAAGGCTTGTAGACTGAGAGAGTCAGTGGGAAATGGAGAGACTGCGTGTATTCTGAGTCCGCGTCCTGCAAACGATCACACCAGGAGGAGAACTCGTTGTAGATGGTAGAGGTGGAGAGACATTGATTGAAAAGACGTTGCACAGTTTCCAAAGCCAAATCCGTTATCGATCGTTGCTCTTTGGAAGAGCTGTGCAGTTGGGAACGGCTGGAAGACAGGACACCGCGCGTTGGAAGAATGGTAGGCTTCGTGTCTGCTGTCAGTTTCACCATATTCGACAGTAATTTGACTACTGAGTTTTGAAATAAGGAAGGATCGATGTTCAGCAGCACTTGAATCATAAGAATGGCCGAGCGTCGAATTGAGGGATTGATAGAAGTTAGTCCATTGTTAATAAAGACATTCAAAAGATCAGCGAAAGGGGAAAGTTGACTCTTTGAGACATTTGGAAGCAAAGTCGAATAAACACTAACAAGAGCTTGTCTTACCCCAACGTCTGAATCAAGAAGTAGTTTTATTGAGTTGGTGATTAGAACATTCACAGAAGTACTATACAGTATTTCATTTTGTGCAAATAAATCTCTCAAGCCCAGCACAGCATCTTTTCTCACATTTGCACTGTAATGAGTGAATTGACTAACCAAGTCTGCCAATGACTTGTTCCTGTAGTTTACCACATCACTCTCCTCTCTCATGATCGATTGCTCTTGGACTCGGATGCGTTTTGTTCGCACATTTACGTTTGTTGCTTTTGGATCAATATTCTTCTTACCAATCTTCTTTCTCTTTTTAGGAAAGTCCTCTTCTCCTTTTTTCACCATTAGATTAGAAGAATACAATACTATTTTGTCATTTACAACAGGGTATACTGTGTTAGGAATGCAGTACTTCGAATGGATTATATGATGGTTGATTGTTGAAGGATTCGCATTATAGAAGAATAGTAGAACTGGTGTTTTAAAATATCAAAAATGTGATTATTTGATTTGTTGTCACAATTATAATATGATAATATGATAATAGAAAGTACTAATATGGTTTCTATTGAAAACTAAACTCAAAACATATACAATCCATTCATCAATTCATTCATTTATTCATTCATATATTCATTCATAAATGGATTGATACAATTGTACAATAAACACATAAATGTATACGATAGAAACAGATATGAGAAGATATTGTTTCATAAAACTTCAACTCTCAGTTCGTCTTTAATTATCATAGAATAGTACAATTATGTTTTCTATAATGCAAATATATATATATATAGATACATGTACAAACACTTCCATTTTTAACTGAACAAAGTAAACTTGTTCATTAATATATATTATAATAAAGATGATTGATTTCTAAATCATGTATAATATAATGACAAATTGTAAAAGAATAATACGTTTTCAAGGAAACTATATAACTCTTCCATAGAATATGATTTCTGTCTTAAATTCAACTATGCTCGTAGCTCTTATAATGATGCATGGTTTTTTTGATGTGATTCATTGAAGTCAGTAGTGTTACAAGAGTGGTTTCTTCCTTCTAGATCGTATACATGTATATAAGGTTATTCAACACATGATGCCATCAAAAATATAGGCAAACTGAGCAGAATAGATGAGAAAATACAGTTATACTTAACTATAAACAAGTATTCCTTGAGTATCAAGGAATACTTGTAATTACTAAACTCAACTCGTTTTGCAGCAACTCAATATTATTTTATTATTTCTGTATATTTATAATGTTTGACATTTTCCTGGATTCTCTTGAGCCTTTGGAAAGAAATATTAGCTTGTTTAATCTAACATCTCAAGAGTCGGCAGACGTGCATGTGAAGGATATTTTTTCTTCAGAATCTATAAACGTGGATGAGGTTACATCATTTTCACCTATTACTATTAATCCAGCTTTTGATTTGTCTACTACCACTGGCCAAGAGAATCCCAATCATAATTCGTTTTTTTCTATGAATAATTCGGTCGAAAGTGGGGAGTCACCTATTCCTATCAATAACCTGGTGGCAAGTAATAGTCCTACTACTACACCATTTGGAGAAACGGGTCATATCCCCTTTACGAATGACTTGGAAGCTATTAACACTTCTATTTCATCTTTAAACATGTTTTCTGAATGGGTTCCCTCTGAGCCCTTTAACAATGACAATTCCTGGATACAACATTTGCCTTATTCTTTACCGAAGAGTGATGAAAAAGCTATTTCTTTGGCAAACGAATCGTCCCGTTCTGCACAATACCCTTATTATAATGATAATCTTAGGAACGATTCGCTTGTTTCCTTACAAGACGACAACAACACTAGTACTTCTTTTGTGAGTCGAGATGAATATGATTCATCCGATTATTTGAGTGAGATTTTCCTGCCGATTCCCAAACCTGATAGTATTCCTTTTCCGGAAAACGATAATATGGATGTGAAGTCGAATATGAACATCCATTATCAGCAATTTTCAACCAGAGATACTAAAAAGAAATCATTGTCCTCGTTACATGCTTTTACTGCAATAACAGAGAATCAAAAAGATGCTACGCCTCTTCCAAGACCCATTCCTCCAGCTCCAGAAGAGAAAAAGAAGACGAAGAAGAGATTGGAGACTAACAAAAAGCAATTGCACAGGAAGCGATTGAATTTCTCCGGGAAAGATGAAAGAATATTGATAATGAAGTGGATTTCTAAATTATATGGCGGGTCAACGTATATTGAAAGTGCTGGAGCACTGTTTAAGAAGTACTATGATCTTCCGTTACAGATCGGTACACGAGTTCATACTTATGTCAGAGAACTGAATATGAATGTGACAATTACTATTGGAAGAACAGCAACCAATTTATATCATAGCTTTAATTCTATGAAGAATAGGCCCGAACTGTTTACATTGTAACATGGGATATTATACAATTGTTTTGTTCGCACATTTACGTTTGTTGCTTTTGGATCAATATTCTTTCTCTTTTTAGGAAAGTCCTCTTCTCCTTTTTTCACCATTAGATTAGAAGAATACAATACTATTTTGTCATTTACAACAGGGTATACTGTGTTAGGAATGCAGTACTTCGAATGGATTATATGATGGTTGATTGTTGAAGGATTCGCATTATAGAAGAATAGTAGAACTGGTGTTTTAAAATATCAAAAATGTGATTATTTGATTTGTTGTCACAATTATAATATGATAATATGATAATAGAAAGTACTAATATGGTTTCTATTGAAAACTAAACTCAAAACATATACAATCCATTCATCAATTCATTCATTTATTCATTCATATATTCATTCATAAATGGATTGATACAATTGTACAATAAACACATAAATGTATACGATAGAAACAGATATGAGAAGATATTGTTTCATAAAACTTCAACTCTCAGTTCGTCTTTAATTATCATAGAATAGTACAATTATGTTTTCTATAATGCAAATATATATATATAGATACATGTACAAACACTTCCATTTTTAACTGAACAAAGTAAACTTGTTCATTAATATATATTATAATAAAGATGATTGATTTCTAAATCATGTATAATATAATGACAAATTGTAAAAGAATAATACGTTTTCAAGGAAACTATATAACTCTTCCATAGAATATGATTTCTGTCTTAAATTCAACTATGCTCGTAGCTCTTATAATGATGCATGGTTTTTTTGATGTGATTCATTGAAGTCAGTAGTGTTACAAGAGTGGTTTCTTACTGCTAGATCGTATACATGTATATAAGGTTATTCAACACATAATGCTATCTAACAAGATGTACTGGACTTTTTACGATAAACGTTAAATGATTGGCTTGCTGTTATAATTATGGTATTACCATACATCCCTCTCTAATATACTTTTATTCGAATTTCATATTCTATTTCATTTGGTCAATCATATGTTTTTACGTACTTCGGATACCGTAACACCTGTCAATGATGTGGGTCTTTCTGATCTCACATCTGAGGAGACAACGTATTTTGAAAACAAAGATGACATTTCATTTGTTCAGATCAGCACACCCGAAGTAAGATCAGTTGTTGACCAACCTTTTGTGTATCCAGATTTTGATTCTTATGGGGTTTTTCCCTCCGGCCAAGAGTTCTCTGACTGTAATTTTTTTTCCGACTACAACACTGTCGAAGACAACGGACCGTATTCTTTTTCTTCTTCTTCTTCTTCTTCTTCTTCTTCTTCTTCTTTTTCTTTTTCTTTTTCTTCTAATATCTTGGAATCAGGTGGTATTTCTATAAATGCAATTCCTGAAAAAACGAATGATTTGCTGTTATCAACTGTTTCGGAACCTACAGCTGTTTTTGATAATGCAGATCCTGAAGAAACGAACAATTCGCCTCTTTGGAGTGTGAATCCTGACGAAATGCTGTTGGTGCCTGATGAAGATATCATTATCTTTAAGCAGGATTTACCTGATACTCTATCAGAATGCATTCCAACGACGGTTTATACGCCAAACGATTCGTCCCCCTTAGCGCAGCAACATACCAGCAGTATTCTTAATGGCGTTTCGACTTTTGGTTCGCAACAGAATGCTAACGCTTTTTCGTCAAATAGTAATATCCAGTCACTCCCAGGCTCTGGTCCAACTCCATGCATTAATCCAGAGTCTCAGTCTTTTCCAAAAGGGGATACTATGGGGATACCACCGAATAATCCCATCCAGTTTGAGCAGCCAACTACTACTGGCTATGATAATAATCAATTGTCATCCTCATTACATCCCCATTCAGCGGCAGTGAATCAAATAGATCCTTCGCCTTTTCCAAAGCCCATATCTTCAGCTTCAGGAGACAACAACAAAAAACCGGAGAAGAACAAAAAGCAGAAGCGTGATCGTATCAACTTCTCCGGAAAAGATGAAAGAATTTTGATTATGAAGTGGATTTCTAGAAAAATTGGTGGATCGACGATCCTAGAAAGTATCGAGGCGCTTTACAGGAAGTACTATGATAAGCCGTCTATGGCATTTCGTTCACATGCTCGTGTAAATGTTGAAGAACTGGGTATGTGTGTGGACGTTACCATTGGAAGAACACCAAAACTTCTTCACTACAATTTTTACCATATGAAGGGTAAACTAACTCATTATGGCATCCAGCTATAAATCTACTCTTTTGCGGTGCTTCTGTTTGTATTACAAACCACATAAACGAAACAAACAAAAGGAGATTTTGCAGAATCAAAGAGAATCGCTTTTAGATGTCAGTTATGATTCACAGATTGTCGTTTTTACACTTAAACATGCTTGAATTCACACGCATTGCTCTGTCTCTTGCTGGCGTGCTTTCTAACAAAAATTTTTGAATAAAATATACTCTTTGCTTACAAGTTTGTTTCGATTGCCCTTCCTCAATCATATCATACTCCACTTGTTTATATTATATACTCGCAGTCTGTCACCACAAAGAGCGCAGAGCATTTCCCTTGCCACTTCAAAACGCAACAACACTCCCCAAAAGCTCACGACTGTTTTCAAAAAACAATGCAACCCATTCATTCATTCAGAGATGCTCATAATACTCTTTTACCCACGAAGGCGCTTCCGCTTGCTCCGAATCCAACGGCGAAATGGAGGATCCCTCAAAGAAATCCACTTTAAAGTGCGACTTAAACTTTTCCAGATAACACTCCCTACCCCTGAAATGCCTCGCCCAATCCTACGTGTATTCCGCGAGCGTAACGCGCGGGTTGAATGACTGAACGCTGCACATTTTGATCCCCTTTAAGCCACAGGGAATGATACAATCGAAGAGAGAAAGATCATTCTCCACATTCACCGCAATTCCATGCATCGTGATCCAACGAGCTACATGGATCCCGATGGACGCGATCTTGTCCCCATTCACGTACACTCCAGTCTTGCCCTCGATGCGCTCCCCATGAATGTCAAACTCGGCAAGACTGTCAATAATCGACTGCTCTAGCTAAATAGTAAGGCAAGCACACAGCTGGAAATACTAGGCGCAAATAAGCGTGCAAGTCTTTTACATAATAATTCAAATTGAGAATAGGGTAGGCGACGAGCTGCCCTGGAGCATGATGCGTTACCTACAAATAGAAAGGAATCTTCATCTGCACTTCTCCGCCTCTTTCGATCTTGAAAAGTTTATGCTGCTTGTCATTTTGATCAAACAATATGTTAGACTCATCTCCACCTCTTCCGAGCGTGTACCTAGATTCCAAAAATCAGAAAGCAGCTACACTGGAGGATGTTGAACTAGGATCAATTCATCGCACAGATTTGTGCGGAAACGGCTCTTCTGCACCGTTTTCTGCCAATTCCACACCGTCTCGTAGTCGACAATTCCTAATCTATGTAGTCTCACGGGTCTTAATGCTCCGACACGATTCTATGATGATTACACGTAGCATGTGTGCATACAATAGTTTTAATCAACCCGCTCATATCGAGAAAATGACCGAGTAAGGATCATAATATTAAAATCAATCAGAACTGATCACTGTACAGTTTCCATATTCATTTCTCTCCTGTTAGGTTTCTAGTCAAATAGTACTGTGCGAAATAACAACTAATTATGGGGAATTGCGCTACAAGTCCAGGTTTCGAACTGATAATTTTGAGTGACTTTTAGAAACGGCTGAGGAATACCAAAAATACGTAGCTGCAGAGAAGGAAGTTTGTAGGAATTTTTAGATGGGTAATAACGGTCAGCCCTGGAGTCAGACAAAGCTCCCTATGTGGTAACGGAAGAACCTTCGAAACTGAATCACGAGGATAAGATTAGAATTAATAATGAAAACAAAGAATTACGTTTGTTAGTGAAGATTGACCGAATAAAAGTACGGAACGTGGGGAACAGTCCAAACCTGTTTTGTAAATTCAGATTTGCAGACGAAACTCCGGTAAAGGTGAGGCTTGTCTGCATGTGTGTCTAACTTTTTAGACACACTTTCTGATGTCACAAGGTTCTTACTGGAGATCTCAATTTAGTTTTGAATATGTTGCTCATGAAGGTTTGAAATCTCTTCGAGGTAGGAGTGCATTCTTCTCTCGAGCCTAGAAAAGAGCCTGATCGTCGAGCTCTGGTCAAACAACCCTCAAAAAGAAACGGACGTGTATATCGGACATGCGACTTTAGGGATTGAGAGTCTATGCAAGGGCCCGCTGCACATCGATTACCAGCTGACCAACTCCAAGTTCGCACCCCTCTTTCCTCCATCATGCATTAGAAACGCTCCCTGTGGCCGAATCAGCTTCAACTGCACCATCGAGCAACAATGCGTCTGGGGCATGAAGTTTTTAAAGATCATGGTCCGTCTGAAGGACAGCAGCGAGATCGACCTCACCGAAGGCAATCTCTGGCGCCTGGTCGTTTCGCGCTCCAAAATCGACGGCGAGGAGCAATACAGCAGCACCGACACGAGCATTCCCGCGGTGACGGACCAAATGGTGGACCTGGACGCGGAGCGGAAGGTGTGATCGGGTTTTGACGCTGACAACTAGCACCAGCTGATCACGCTGAGCTGGAAAGAGGACGAGTTGTTCACGGTGGGATCGAGCTGCACGTTCTTAGAATTCGTGCGCGAGCCGCTTCGTCTGCAAGTCCAGAAGATCAAGGTGTTCGATTCGAATTCGATTCACGTGCAGAACGAAAACGACACGCATTACACCGTCTTCGGAGAATGCTGGGTCTCCGTCGAGAAAGCCTACTCTCTCTTCCAGGTATTCCCGCGGGGATGGTTCCATCTAGCGGCATCCGGACCGCATCGCGGAGATGTACCACCACATCTGGAACATGGGCGTGTCCGTGGGGGAGGTGGCGCTTTTTTTCCAGTTCCGCGACATCTGCCTGGTGCAGCAAATGCTCTCCGGCGTGCACAGCGAGCGCGGGATCACCGCGGGGTCGACCGTGGTGAGCTCGGTGGGGGAGAAGAACCGCGGTGACGGGTAGGACTACTCGAAGAGCTTGTTTCGCCGCGGGGGGCAGGAGCTTCCAGGCCCGATGACGGAGATCGTGCAGCTGTACCGGCAGTTCATCGAGCTGAAGACGAACCCCGCGCCGAACGACAAGGAGCAGGTGGAGATTTTGGAGCGGATCATCGGGTATCTGCGGAATACGGACAAGGACAGCATGGTGGCGTTCATGTGGGCGAGGCAAACCGCGATCACGCGCAGGTACCAGAGCGAGGCGTCGCTGCTGCGCGCGAAGGGGATCTTTTTGGACATGCTGGACAACCTCGCCGGGATGCTGTGGGACCTCAACTACACGGTGAAGAACGTCGTCTACGAAGTGATCTTCCGGCTGCTGAAGCGGGCCGAGCTCTCCGATCTGACGCTGCTGGGGTTCGATCCCGCGAGCACCGCGCCGCCCACCAAGGAGAACGTCGAGTTCGCGAGCAATCTGCGCAAGGTCCTGCTGCGCATTCTGCGCGACGTGCTCGAGCGCGTGGGTTCGTTAGGCGCTTCACGAGGTGCAGATCAACGAGAAGGGCATGTCGCAGCGCCTGAGCGTCTTCTATTCGCGCATCATCTCCATCTGCATGTTCCGCATCCCCTCCTTCGGCGCCGAGGTCTACTCGCTGCTCTGGGACACGCCCACGCCGCCCGACGTCTCGCCTGCCACGCCGCAGCCGCTCCAAATCCTGCTGGCGCGCGACGTGGGGGGCAGCACGTGCTCGCTGTTCAACTCCTTCACCGCCTCCACGGTGAAAATGATCGACGAGTTCGCGGATCGGAGCAGCGCGGCGGACCACGCGTCGCCCGCGACGATCGGTAGAAGCGGGGCGAGGAGTGGACGTGTAGAGGACATGAAGGCGATGGAGGGCGGCGCGATCGAGAGCTCGTTCCAGGTGACGCAGGAGTGGCTCACGACGGTGTTTCACACGTGCAAGATCCATCCGATTCTGTCGGATCGAGGTTTTTATTTTGAGAGGAAGAGAGTGAGGGATAGGCGCGGGGAACAACGACTTGCTGCAGAAACTGCTGGACTGGAGGCCGGTGGAGCAGGCGGTTCGGCGGTACAACGAAGAGAACGGGCTGTCGACGAACGACACGGACTTCTTTACGGGTAGTCCGCGGGGGCTTGCTGAAGAGTGTAGTGACGAACGAGTGGAAGACGCGCATCTCCATGAAGGGGAATCTCTACTATCTCATCGTGGAGGCGTGGCTGCAGAAGATCCTCTCCATCATGACCAATCTCCATCGCGAGATCCAGTGGTCCTGCATCCCCGGCTACAACGAGATGCTCCTCTCCTTCGCCGTGCAGCTGGAGGCCGTGCCGCTCGCCGGGTACACCGACACCATGACTAAAGTCATGCGGACCTTTCTCAGCAACGACAGCACGCTCAACCTCTTCGTGCGCATCCTCTTCCTCAAAACGCGCCCCTACAACATCCAGGAAGTCGCCTTCGTCACCGAGCTCGTCGACAGTCTTTTCTGTTTCCTCGTTTCCCCTCTCTTCTCATCCGCAGGCTCCTATCGACGCTGGACCGATCGCCTGGAGCGTTCTCGCCACCCCAACGAAACGGCTCCGACGAAGCTGCCCGCGACGTTCAGTGATTATCCGTTCGTGCAGGGCGTGCTGATTCTGCTGCGCAGCGACATGAACCAGGTGGTGATCAAGGCGATGGAGCTGCTGTACCACCACTGGGACCTGCTGCGCGAGCACCAGAAGCACATTTTCATGCTGGAGCTGCTGAGTCCGCAGATGATCCTCTCGTTTTTCCTGCACTGGAACGTGCACGTGCGCCAGTTCTACGACTATCTGCTGATCTACTGGCTGCTGCAGTGCTCCGTGGCCGATCGCAAGAACCGCATCGACGTCTACGACTTCCTCAAAGACTTCGCGAAGCGTATCTAGCCGCTGTCTGGCTTCAATCGCAGTGCACATCAAGAAGGGCCGCGTCGTGGACTTCGCGCACCCCGAAAAACTCTCGTTTTCCGTCAAGCAAGTGGAGTTCGGGAAGAACTTCTTCATCGTCAAAGCGACGGACATCTCCGCGCAGCTCCAGGCGCGCTCCGATTTCCGCGCCTTCCTCCAGGACCTCGACGTCTTCACCTTCGACGAATTCGTGCCGTTTTTCTGGAATTTGCGAGCGTAGAAAGCGTACTACGAGCAAGTCGTGGGCCCCGCCAGCGACGACGCCTGCACGCAGCTGCTCGACTACCTCCAGTTTCTCTGTATTGTGTACTGCATCTCCGACGCGAAGTCGACCTAGTACGAGCCAATTATGGAGTGTTCCGTAGTTACTGCTTTTCCACGATTATGGTGAACGCGAATCATGATTGGCTGCTCTTCAATCCGCACAATCTCAAAAATAACAGCTCCTATTATCAGCAGCAGATCCTCATCGCGCGCTTCTACGCCTTCCTTCGAAACGTAGAAACGGGGAAACAGGGTAACGGACAGCTGCACCGCATCGTGGTGGATCGGATCGACTCGGAGAGAGAAAGCTATCGAAAGTTCCAGAAGTCGCTGAAAAACGCGCAGGCGAGCGTAGATTCGGTGCGCGCGGTTCATTGTAGTGTCATAACGAGGCGATTAACAAGCTGAACATGCAGATGATGATGATTTCGTCGATTTTGTCGACGGATATGCGTGGGGTTCGATCGAATTCGATCAGGAATAGGCGGGAAATTCGATCAGCTGTTGCGATCGACGGAGGTCATGGATTCGTTGCTGACGAGTGACGCGTATTCGGTAGGCGTTCGATTCGAATTCGATGGAAGGTTCCGCGGAAGCAGGAGGCATACGCGGTTTCCGCGGTTCTGACGTTCGATAAGCTGTTTAACAATCATGTAGGGGCGAGCGAGAGGAAAGGAGGGTTTTTTTTATGCGTAGGAAAGCGATCAGATTCGGAACACGAAGGAAATGCCGTTTCTCCATTGGCAGACGGTGTACCCTACCAATCTGCTATCTTCTTGGGATTAGTCTTGATGTATTATTTATTAGTTTTTTTTGTTTTTATGGGGTGTTTGTTGTAAACGGGGAGAGGGGATGGCGAGTGTAAGCGAAAGCGAGGGTTGGGGAGTGATCTGAATTGGATGAATTGGATGAATTGGATGAATTCGATGAATTGGATGATTCGATGATTCGATGATTCGATGAATTGGATGAATTGGATGAATTCGATGGTTCTATGAACTCGATGATTCCCTCATGCCCCAACTTCCCAATCCAACCACCCATCACTCCACCGCTCTCTCTCCCCCTTCCATTCTCCTCTTTCCAACAAACACTTCACAACTTCTCCGTCAATATCATCGTATGCTGCGACCCCGCCGACGCCATCACCACCTTCCTCTGCGCCAGCGCCGCGCTCTTCACATGATACAATCTCGGCTCGTCCTCGTATTTATTTCCATTCCCCAGCTGCTGCATCTCTCCGAACCCCATCGTGTACAGCAGCCCCTTCTCGTCCACCACCACGAAGTGGTGGTACCCCGCCACCACCTGCTGCGCCACCACGCCGCTCATCTCCACCTCGCCGAACTCCGTCGCGCACTCGCCCTCCGTCGCGCGGCCCAGCTGCCCGTAGCTGTTCCGCCCCGCCGAGTACAGCCGTCCCTCGCGCGTCAGCACCACCGTCGCGTGCTGCGAGAGCGCCGCGGACACGATCTCCTTGTCGTCGAAGAACTTTAGGCGCACCGGCAGCTGCGGATCCTCGCTGCGCGTCCCGATGCCCAGCTGGCCCCAGTTGTTCAGCCCGAACACGTAGCTACGCTTCACTCCTGCCCCTCTCTCCTACACGTGCCCGTTCTCCAGCTGCACCAGCGAGTGCATGCCGCCCGCCCACATCGCCTTCACCTTCGGGAACTGCCGGCCCTCGCGGAAGGGCAATTCTCGCCACGTCAGCGCGTTCTGCTTGTGCCCCGCGGGGATTTTAAACCCGGACTGGCCCTGCTCCGTGGAGCCCCAGTTGAACAGCCGTCCCTCGTCGTTCAGCGCCAGCACGTGGCTTTCGCCGCACGCGACGCGCACGATTTTGACGCCCTTCGGCAGCACGATCTCGCGCGGCGTGCGCTGGATCCGCACCGACTTGTCCCAGCCCAGAATGCCGCCGGAATCGCGGTAGGTGCCCCAGGAGAACACGCGGCCGCTGCGCGTGAGGATGATTCCTTGGCAGCCGCCCGCGTAGATGTTCTGGATGGGGTCCGAAGCGAGGAAGGAAGTGTCGATCGCTGCCGGGATTTCTTCTTCGCCGGAACGGCCCTATGTGAAAGGTGGAAACGGTGGAAACGAGAGAGCCTTCGTCGTTGCTTCCCCAGGAGAGGAGGGAGAGCGAGTCGCGGCCTAAAACGAGGTTGAATTGGCTGCCGCTCGCGATTCGAAGAGGATGAATCGCGGTGGCTGCGGATTGGAGAATGGGCTTTCCGACCTAGAGAATGGTTAGAGTGGGAAGGAGAAGTGGATGGATGGAAGGAGTGAGTGAGTGAGTGATTTGGAATCCAATGGAAGAGAAGCGAGAAGGGTTTGAAAGGATTGGAGGATTGTTCAATTGTTTGAAATAGAAGGGGTTTGTTAATATAAAAATGGGATGACTGAAAGTAAAAAGGGATGTTCAAAATTAGAAGATTCGAAGAGTTCAATTATTGGATGTATTGGATTTATTCATTCATTTATTCACTCACTCATGGGATTCACTCACTCACTCATTGGATTCACTCATTCACTCATTCACTCAATTCATTCAATGGAATCGCATCAGCAGTACGTCTAGACTCACCAACGCCCTCCCTCCAAGCTTTCCCCATTTCCACTCGCTCAGAGTTTCGACGCTTCGTCAGCCGAGAGAACTCATCCTCTGCGCAAAGACACTTACATGCAATCGCTCTGTTCCGAATCCCAGCTGGCCACAATCACCACTGCCAAACACAAACACTTCGTATTCCTTCGAATCGCTGATCAACGAATCGACAGCTGTGCAGGGAACCGCCGTTCGGCCCTCCATCACATCCACGCTGTTTTCATCTTCCTCGTACGACTCTTCTGTCATGGGAGGCTCGACATCACTTCCAAAATTGATTTCATTTTCACTGTGTTGTTCATTTTCATTTTCAATTTCATTCTCACTTTCACTCTCTTTCTTGCTTTCTTCTTTTTTTTCAGTTTGATTTGATTCAGCTTCTTCAGCTTGTTTCGCTTTTCCTCGCCCTTTTCCTTTACTTTGCGCTTTTCCTCGACCACGACCGGATCCACGAGGTCGTCCTCTGCCTCGTTTCTTCGGCGCTTCCGATTCTTCCTTCGATTCACTCTCTTTCGGCTCCTCAGCATTTTGGGATGCAGCTGACTCTTGCTTCATCTCCGTCTCGGATTCCGATACCGATTCTGATTCCGTATCACTGTTACCCTTCGTCTGCTTTGTAGGAGTAGGAGTAGAACCAGAAGCAGAAGCAGAAGCAGAAGCAGATGGAGGAACTGGAGTCTTTTCAAGAGTTGGAGTCGACTTCAAGTCCGTGCCTTGCTCTTCAGCCTTCTCAAGAGGCGTGTCCTGAGACTCTGATCTCATAGTCACTGCACTTGGGCCCGAACCAAACGTAAATGAACTTGCTTTAGGGAAGGAAAAGATGGAATTCGTTTTGGTATAGCCCGAATCAAACAGCGATTTGGGTTGCTCCTTTCCGGAGGGGACAAACGTAAACCCGCCAACCTTCTCACGCTTTGGCTCCTCTCCACAAGGGAGAGTACTTCCTCGTTTCAAGGGATTCGCGTTGGAAGCAGCTGCGCTTTGCTTCGTTTCCGCAGTTTCCTCCTTCGTTTCGGAGTTTTTATCATGTGACAAACTATGACTAGATTTTTGCGATTTTGGTTTCTTTGCATCGCAGGACCCACATCGATCGAGATTATTACTGGTATACGTAAAACAAATCGGACAACGCCACATGGTCGATTGTCTTTCTTTCAACCTCTCCAAAAAGGCAGGACAGAAAGCAGGCTTTGCACCTTCTTCGCTCATTTAAATTATCGACTCTCTTTGCGATTTTTCTGGTTTCTTATTGGCCATTGGAAATCCAAAAATCGCCTCGATTTTTGCAAACAAACAAACCATCCCTAAATCAACTCTATGCTGCTTCCTGCTTCTTCTCCTCCTTTTTCTCCTCCTGCTTCTTCTCCTCCTCTTCCGCCTTCTTCTTCTTCTCCTCCTCTTCCGCCTTCTTTTTCAGCTTCTCCTCCATCCAGCAGTGCTCGGGCTTGCCCGAAATAACGTACGGACGGTCAATCCCCACTTCCTTCAACATCATGTACAAGCCCTCCGCCTAGCGTCCATTCACCCGCTCTCCCCTACTCGCTTTCGATCGCACGCGTTCACTGCGATATCCAGCATCTTCTCGAGCAGTTCGGTGGGCACCGCCGCAGCTTTGGGCGATGTCGCTGCATCGCCCTTTTTGTCCTTCTTTCCGGTATGCGGCTTTGGCAGCATGGAGTACGCGGTTCCGAGCTTCCGATTATCGACAAGAAGCCTAGAATGAAGGGAAGATCCGACATGTACTGAACAGCATGAGCCAGATGAGTCGGGTCGGATCCCCATTGCTTGCGCGTGAATGAATAGATCGCTAAAGGGAAGAACGCAGAGAGATAGCAATCGTACTGCGAATCACTTCGGGAGTGCCAGCAGGAATACAAGCATCCATCAACTTCTCGTAGTTCTCGCGCGAGCAGGCTGCAAAGCAGTCCTGGTGCGATTTTAGCACTAGGTGAAAGCCATTCAACACCTATACGAGAGAAAATATCGCCAGGCTTGATAGAATGCAGCAGTGTGGTTACGAGATTATCTAAAACGATCAGACAGCAGAACGATCCATACTGATGGCGATCGGATGTACTTGCATGTGATGGGAAGACATGTAATTAGCGAGTTTCTGGACATACACGAAATCTTCTTCTTGTTTACAGCTATAAATATACGTTCCATTCCCATACAATACGTCTGGAAATATCGATTAATCATGTTTTTCCCCAACTGATAGGGTTTGCGAGTGGAGACAATGATCCGACGATATCTCTCTGCGGGGGTCGCCAACTTCTCAATAGGGATTGAGAAATCCTTCGCGGTTTTCAGACTTGACCATTACTCAAACCGATTGTACGTTACATCGCTTCCATCTCGGGATCTACCTCCTTTGGAGTCTCGGTTCCCTCTTTCTTTTCCCCCGTTGCAAAAAAACGACCAAAAACCAAAGGGAACTTGCCGTCCAGAGTGCCAAGCGCTCGGAAGGAGGGCAGCGAGGCTTTGGCCAAGGTACGAATGGCGATTTGATTCATATTTATGTGAAAATTCCCTCTTTCCCGAGCTCACTGTGTATGCACAGTGATCGACTTTTATCATAAACCACTGTACGTGCGATTCAACTCCAATCTCAACAAATTGACCTTTACTATGTTCCGTGCTTTGACATCTGTATCTTCTCGCGTAGTGGCGACATCAAAGTTTGCTCCCTTCGTATCTTATGAGGTGCTTGTTGTAATAGCCTAGACCGCTGTTAGAGCGATGCATTTTGGTCCCACGAAGCAGGTACGGATGATCTCCGCAATCCTCTCATCCTTCTAGCATTATGATAGTCCGGACAACAATGTCGACACTCCCTTCGATTTCACCGCGGAGAATTACAGAAGAGTTCACGAAATCATGAAGCGCTATCCTAAAAACTACAAGCAGTCCGCTGTGATGCCTCTGTTAGATCTCGCTCAGCGTCAGGTAGAAACCCTCTTTTTTGGTACGAGCTCAGTGTGGAAATTATCTTCCTCTTGCTGCGATGAACAAGGTAGCTGAGATTCTGGAGATGCCGCCCGTGAAGGTGTACGAAGTGGTGACGTTCTACACGATGTACCGCACGTAAGATCCTGCTCCGATCCTCATTTTCAGCGAGAAGGTTGGCAAGTTCTTCATCCAGGCCTGCGGTACGACTCCCTGCATGCTGTGCGGCTCTGAAGAGATCTTCCAGACCCTGGAGAAGGAGCTGGGCATCAAGGACGGTGAGACGACGAAGGACGGCATGTTCTCGCTTCTGAAGGTGGAGTGTCTGGGCGCGTGCGCGAACGCTCCGATGGTTCAGATCAACGACGATTACTACGTAGGGCAGCGGAGTCCGCGTGACTTGTAGGAGTGCCTGACGCCGAAAACGACGGTGGAGCTGCTGAACTACATTCGCAAGGAAGGCAAGCTGCCGCCGCTGAACAAGTCGGGCTCGAAGCCGATGAACGGACAGGAGAGCTGCGAGGGAATCAACGGACAGACGACGCTGAAGGGAGAGATTCGAGGAAAGTACTGCCGCGAGCTGCCCGCCAAGAAGGTGAATCCCAAGCAGGTGTTTATCGATATGTATGGAGAGGACAGTCTGTAATGCGTTGTTTATTGTAATGGGGGTGTTTGTTGGAGATGAGAGTTGTGGGAGGGAAGGGGTGGTTGTTGTTGGAGAGAAAAAGTATTGTTGAAAATGGTTGGAGAGAAGGAATAAAAAAGATGTGTGCCTTTTCAATATTTCTTCTCACTAGAGCACGGATCGAAACCTAGATGGTCATCTCCACCCTCTAATATCTTTATCAAATCCAATCGTTCTGCATTTCCACCCCATCCATTCCCTTTCGATTTCCATCTCGCAAGACACGGACTTGAAATCACGTCCGCGTACAAATGCGTCTCAGAAATTGCAAAAACAACTCGCTCCCATTTTCAAAATGATCGAAATACAAATAGTGTTATTCTCATAATTCCAAGTTTTTACTTAAATGGAAGAGCTGCGAGAGGTGTTTTCTTTTCCTCTGGAAAAGATGAAGGCACTTTCTGCTTACATGAAGACACAAATGATCGAAGGATTATGCGGACGGGAATCCGACTTGAAAATGCTCCCCTCGTTTGTTACTTCGCTTGCCACTGGTAAGTACGTTCGAAAGAGATAAGGGATAGGAGATGAAGTGGGGTTGGCTCTTTCGATTGTGATGGGAGGGACCAAGGTGCTTGTGGAGAAGATCCGGTTCAACGGGGGTGTACACTTCACAATCGAGAAAAAGGTAGTTCGCCCCATTAGCGAAAGTCTTCGTAGAGGCAGTAGCGATGATCTGTTTGGCTTTGTCGCTGACTGTGTAAAAGAAGTAAACCCGGAACATGGAATAAAAGCTGGATTTGTTTTTTCGTATCCTTGCACGCTCACTTCCCTAAAACGTGGAACTTTAGTGGAGTGGACCAAGGATATCAGCGTAGAAGAATGCAAAGGCAAAGATCCCTGCGTTCTTCTCCAAGAACAGCTTGATCGTCGCAACCTGAATGTAAAGATCGTCGCGCTCTGTAATGATAGTGTTAGTACTTTAGTCTCCCACTCCTACTCCCACACGCGTACCGCGGTGGGTGTGATCCTTGGCTCTGGCACCAATGCCGCCTATGTTGAGCAGATCGCCAACATTCCAAAGCTGCACAGCGAGATCGCCTCGCGCTTTATGATCATCAACATGGAGTGGGGGGCCCTCGGCGGGCGAAACCCCTCCATCCTGCCGCTCTCCTCTCTGGACATCGACATCGACCGGAACTCGATCAACCCAGGGAAGCAGCCGCTGGAGAAGATGATGAGCGGCTTGTTTTTGGGCGAGCTGGTGCGCTGCTGGATCGTCCAGCTCCACAGCCGAGGCGATCTGCTGGCGCCCATCGACGCGTGCAATCGGCTTTTCACCGAGCGGCTGTGTTTTGACTCGTCGCTCTGCACAACGATCTTGTTGGACGACAGCGAGGACCTCACCGAGGTCAGCTCGATTCTCGAGTCGTTTGGGATTCGCAAGAGCTCGCAGAAGGACCGCGAGCAGATTCGAGAGATCGTCGATTGCGTGATTACGCGGTCCGCGCGGCTCATGGGAGCGTGCTTGTTCACGGTTTTGCAGCACATGCAGGAGAATGGAATGGGAGGAAGCATTGGCGTGGATGGAAGTGTGTATAAGTACGTGCCGGGGTATAAGGCAAGGATGATTAAGGCGATGAGGGAGTTGGGGATGGAAAATGTGGAGTGCGGGATTGCAGAGGATGGGACGTCTGTGGGGGCGGCTCTAATTGGCTATTATTCTTCTACTTTATGGATGTAGTTTGAGTGTTTGTTGGATATTGGGAGTTTGTGGAGGATAGGCAGGGAGGTAGGAGCAGAGGATTTGGGGGTGGCTGGAGAAAGGATAGGGGATTTGAAGGTGGCTGGAGAAAGGATAGGGGATTTGAAGGTGACAGGAGATAATAACAGAAAAACAAACGTGGTTCGCTTAAATAGAGATGACTTAATAAACCTCTCAACATAGCTCAGCTTCGAACAACCACCACCTTGTTTGTAGGAAAACCATCTGCCTAACTCATAGCAACCTCTTCACAACTCGCTTCTCCCTATGCTCCCTATTCAACCAATGATTCAAAGAACTTGTTTTCTAATTCTGTTCGAAGGAACAGAATGTTTGGTGCGTCCAATCAAATGCGGCATCTGATTTTGATTGCTTTCCTATGATCCCGCAGAAAGCATTATTTTTTGTTTTTATTGCTATGGCCAAGAAGTGGGGATGAATACTGTGGTGTAACACGTAGATATCAGTTTACCGTTATTCGAGATGTTGAATCGTTCCCCAAGATTCTGGAGGAGAATCTCTCAAAGCCTTCTCTGAGTGTCATTTTCACTGGAGACATCGATCCTGCCACTGGACAGTCCTGGTATGTTGCTTTTTGGGTGGTTTGATTTGTAGGTGCCCTGATTGCGTGTATTTTCATTCTTATCGTTTTCTTATTCTAGAGCCGCTGACCCCGTGATCGATCTCTTCCTGGAAGATCAGAAGAACAATACGACTCTGGTGTGCCTTGTGAAGAGAGAGGGATACAAGGGCAACCCAGACCATCCCTATCGCCAGCATCCTTTGATCAAGCTGCAAGCCATCCCCACTCTGATTCAGTTCAAGAACGGAAAGGAGGTTGGCCGTTGCGTGGAGCGTGAGTGCAGGAACGAGGATGCTTTGTATGCTCTTATGGACTAGCTGCTTTCTTTTGTTTGTTTGTTTGAATCGGAAGTGGACCGTTTTCGAATTTACATTCAAATTCTCTGCCTGGCAGGAATATATCCTAGAGCCCGAAAACATAAAACAAACCAATTCTCCACCTGTACAAAAATGGGGGTTTCACCAGACTTTAACGAAAAGAAAACCATCAAATCAGAATAGAATGGGTTCAAAACGTATCGTGGGTTTGGATTTAGTGAAGGGAATTGCTATCCTCATGATGATTATAGTTCATTCGGTTACGCAAGTAATCGCTGATTATGATGGAAAAGTGTTCTTTAGTGTGAAGGATAAGATTCCCCTGCCTATTCTTTACTGTGTTGTGTACCCTATTATGATTATTGGTCTGTGGGGTACAGTTTTCACCATGATTACGGCTATTACCACTTCCCTAAGCGCAATTCGGATCATGGACAACAATCCACGAGCTATATTCCCGTATATTCTTCAACGATGGTTGTTCCTCGTTTTGCTTCGTCTTGGAGAGTGCCTGGCTAATGCGTTTTTATCAAAGGAGGCCGACCCATACAATAATGAGCATTTTACCTTCCCTAGTATTACGTTTGGAGGAGCGGCTACGACTTTGGACTCGATCGGATGGTCCGGTCTAATTGCTCCATTCTTTGTTTTCTGTTTCTACCGTCGGCAGCTGAAAAGCTCCATTCCTTGGACCATTATCCTGTTCTCTGTTTTATCCTATCTCTTGTTTGCAATCAGTCCGTTTACTACCAAATTCTTTGCTACCATCTCTGATTTTTTGGCTCGCAACCAAATGGGCCTTCTGGCAGCCGTTCTAGGGAAAATCTGCTATGGACGGTTCAAGATCTCCCAGACAATTCCGTTTACGAGCATCGGAACGATGTATGCGTTCCTTCTGCATCAAAACCAGTCGGTTCAGTTCCTTACCATGCTGAGTTCCATATACTTTGTCCTGGGCATCGGGATCTTTTTTGTTTGGTTATTAATCGACAAATCCTTCCTCGATGATCTTGTCTCGGAAGATGTGCCTCTTCCCGCCCAAATCGTTTCTTTCGGGTGCATTTGCTTCATGACGTTCATCCACGCGTGCTTCGTGGACGGCGACCGCTCTCCCGAGAAAAAGCTGAAATCGCGCAAGCGCATTCGCTACTTGCTGCGACTCAGCATGCTGAGCCTCACCGTGTTCTGCATCGGAGGATGGGTCGGCAGACAGCTCTCGCTGCCGTGGCAAGCCGTGTTTGGACCTCCCTGCACGCACAATCCGTCGGTCTTGAAATGGAATCTGTGGGTGTGCGTGGCGTACACGATCTTCTTGCTGGCGTGCTGGATTCTGATTTCGATTGTCTGGGAGAAGAAGGACTTCGTGGGCAGCATGGAGCACATTCTGGGATGGGTGTTGTCGCAAATGATGGGAAAGAAGTTCGAAATGAATAGTCGGAAGTTTGTGTACGGGCCTGCGATGGAGTTGGAGGCCGGTGCGAATTGGGGGACGGAGTGACGTGTAGAGATAAATCAGAGTTTGCTGGACGAATCTGCGGAGAGAAAGGAAGAGACGGTCGAGATGGAGGGAGACGAGGAGGAGGAGGAGGAGAAGAAGAAGGAGCAGCAGCAGCAGGAATAAACAGTGTAGATGCATGTTGGTTGAAAAGAACCAATAACAAGCAAGGTTAGGAGTGATGAACAGCAGTGAGTGAGTGAATCAATGAATCAATGAATCAATGAATCAATGAATCAATGAAGTGTTTGTTGATATACGCAATCAAAACAAGGTAATTAACCACGTAAGCACATAAGTTCAGTTTTGTTTTGAAAAATGGTCAAAGTGCTTGTTTTAGGAGCTTCGGGGTTGTTGGGAAGTGAGGTGTATCGGATCTGCAAGGAAAGCGAGTCGATTCAGGTGTGCTTGTATCAGTTGTTGTCATTCTAGGTGGTCGGAACTTGCCACTCTCGAAAGAATGGAGAGTACCTCCCTGTTGACATTCGAAATACCGCTGAACTGGATTCTTTGCTAGATGACGTAAAACCCGACTACATAGTTAACTGCATTGCGGTTCGTTTTCCTGAAGTGGTAGAAAAGGATCCCATTACTACGAAGGCAATAAACGTTGATTTTCCCGAGTATTTGGCTAAGCAGTGTAAACAGCGTGGAATCTTTTTGATCCACATCAGCACGGATTATGTATTCGATGGAGAGAATGCTCCTTACCATCCCCACGACCCCACCAACCCCCTCAACAAAGTATGCCTTATTCCCTATTTCGATTTTATTTTTCTGTAGTACGCAAAATCCAAGTTAGAATCGGAAGCAGCGGTAAGCGCGAATTGTGATGACTATCTGGTCATCCGAGTTCCCGTTTTGTATGGACCTGGCAACTTCCAAGAGAGTGCTGTTCTCTACATGTATAAGCAAGTCGTGGACGGAGCGGATTGCTATGTGGATCACATCCAGCAGCGTGTTCCCACGCTAACCACGGACATCGCCAAAACCATTCGGAATCTCATCGAAAAACAGTGTTCGCTTCGCGGCATTGTCCATCTCTCTGCGGACGTAGTGCTTGCGCTTGTTTTTGAGTTTAGAAAGAATATACAAAGTACGAGATGGCGATTTTGATGGGAAAAATGCTGGGAGTCTCGACGGATCATATTCATGCAGGATTGAACGGCAAATTTTACGAGTAGCCGCAGCTGACAGTGACATCGAACGTAAAGCGACCGTATAACTGCCATCTGGATTGTAGTGAATTGCGAGCGACTGGATGTTTTGTGATGAGGTGCTTCGTGGAGGGAGGATAAGTCATCTGTAGAGATTTCGAGGAGGGATTGAGAGAAGTGTTTGGAAATGCTGGATTGCTGCCAAAGGATAATTGAAATTGTTTGTTTCAGACGACTTTCCTTATGTGAAGAATAGGATATAAAAATTTTGGTCGGAGGATGTATCGTTCTCTTGCGGCGATCCAGCTGTCGAGACAGTTGTTTAAAAGCTATTCCAGACTTCCGAGAGTGTTCTTTTCGTCTCAGAGCGCAGATGAGTCGGACGACGACTTCAAGCCCAAAAGCAAGGTAAAGGACGAGAACCCGGAGGAAGTATTGAAATTCATTGATAAAGTTTGGAGATGGAGGAAGATGTGAGAAAGTAGATAGTGCATGAGAACAAGGTGATGCTATTTATGAAGGGAACTCCCACAGCTCCTCTCTGTGGATTCAGTTTGCGTGTCGTGAACATTCTGAAGCGCTTGGGTAGTTTTTCTCTCTCGCTTTGAGTGCAGGGTGCGATTTTGCGAGTGCCAACATTCTCACAAGCCCATCGGTGCGGGAGAATCTGAAGAAGTATTCGTAGGCGATTGTTGACGATTTGAGAGAATAGGGACTGGCCGACATTCCCTCAGCTGTTTATCAAAGGAGATTTTATTGGTGGATGTGATATCGTGACGGACTTGTACAAGTCTGGAGAGTTGAAGAAGTTGTTGGATGATGCAGGCGCTTTGGTTCATCCTGAAGTCGCTCCCTCCACTGAGGAGAAGAAGAAGCCGTAGAGTGGGGTTATTCAAAAGCAATTCTTTAGTGAAGTGATGTTTGTTGGAATCATGGAAGATGGGAAGATAGGGAGTTGGGGTAAATCGTGAGATCCTTGTTTTGTAACCGGTGTGCAGAGTAGGAAGGAGTGAAATAGAAGGAATCACAGTGGATGTTGAATCTAGAAATAGAAATGACATAGAAAGAGGATTAATAATAAAGTGTGAAGAACAATTGTGTACTGTTGAGAATGAGAATAGCTACTTTCAAAGACCCTACCGATCGAATCAATGCAACCTCCTGCTAAATCACGTCTGTACTTTTCTCTCTCTCTCTCTCTACCCCCCTTCATAAAAAAATCACTATAACACATCGCGCAAACCCAGACTCCCCCCCCTTTGCTTCCAACAAACAATCCAACAAGCACACAAACCACCCCGAACCCCTTTTCTTATCGCTTCGCATTCTGCGGCAATGCGCGTCCATACCCGGTTCTGTACGTTCTGCCTCCTGCCTTCTTCTCCCACATCTTGACTTCCAGAATCAAATGGTTCAGCGCATAGCCATCGTACCTCCGAATCACCTCCTCGGCACTCTCCTTATCGTGGAAATACGCGAACGCATAGCCGCGCGGCTTGTTGGTGTCGTAGCTCTTCGGAATGTGCACACGACGCAGACTGTAGTTCCAATTCAGCATGCTGTACAGTTTCTTCTCGTCCACGTCGTCCGCCACGTTGTTGATACGGACAATGAACTGGTCGTCCTCCTCCTGCCCTACGAATAAGAAAACACAACACATCAATTCATGATGTCTACCTGATGAGCGTTCGCGCTGGTTCGGAGGCACGTAGCGGTCCGACTTCGCGGCCTGCTTCGGCTGGTACACGGCAGCGGAGGGCGTGGGCTCTTCCTGACCACGGTTCGGACAGTTCGCCGCGAGATGATTGCCCTTGCAGATGCGGCAGACAAAGGTACTCTGCGTCGAAAGAAAATACACGGAAAAATACCTTCCGGGTCTCAGCTGGCTTCTCCACCTTCTCCTGCTCGCTCGGCTTTTCGAAATAGATCTGGAGATGAGGGAGGGAAAAGAACCGAAAACCTGGTCTTGCGATTGAATGGTGACACCTTCGTTACCACCGCTGGGCAATCCAAAAGGAACAATTTGCATCTACGTTGAAAATGCAGGATAGGAGAGATACACGCTCGTAAACGCGACGAGGAACAGACTTTGTGATTTTCATTACTCTAGAACGTCTCGTAGTCTTAATAAGTTGGTTGCCCATATTATACTTGTAGCTCTCGATAGTCTTGATTCCATTCTCATCAATCCATTCCTTCGTTGGTGGAGGTTCTAATGCATTAGCATCCAAAGACGTTTAGTCCCCTACCCATATATTTCCTACAAAAATAAATTGCCCCAGCAAAACCCCCTACTCACTCATTTCGTCTTAATATGGGAAAATGAATTAACCAGAATAATAACGAATGGACACGAACGCCCAATCGAGAAAGGGGAAAAATAGTCCAGAATTCTGGAATTGGATAATAACTTCCTCGAAAGCATTTCCCATATGGGAACCACGACGAAATGGGTAATGGCACCCGATAAGCGAAAATCCAATAAAGACAAGCGGAACTTGATAAAGTAACGTTCTTTGATATTATGAACCACTAATCGAAATCTTCCCAACACACAATCCTCATTATTTTTGTAAATGAATCTTATTCTTTTAGTCCTGGTTGCTACAATCGGTAACGAAATGGCTCCCTTTGTCGCTAATATCTAGCCTTAGCGAAACCTAAAATCCCGATACCAACCGAAGAGCAAGTTCAGTGGCTGGAGCGTGGAATAGCCGGCTTTATTCATTTCGGTGTGAACACGTATACTGGTAAAGACTGAGGGTGATCGCTTGACATTCAGATATGGAGTGGGGTCTGGGAGACGAGGATCCCAAGATATTCAACCCGGTGAAGCTCAATACGACGCAAGTAAGAATTCGGAATTGTGTTTCACTATGTCTAGTGGGTCGAGGCGTTCCAATCGATTGGAGCCAACGAGATCATTCTGGTCACCAAGCACCACGATGGCTTCATGTACTCGCCAAGATCCTCCTTTTATCTAGGCTGTTCCCCTCGGAGTTTTCGAACCACTCCGTGATTAGCAGTACCTGGAGAGATGGAAAGGGCGACGTTGTCCGCGAGTTTGTCGACTCCTGCCGCCAACTCGGCGCCATCCCTTCCTTCTACCTCTCTCCCTGGGACCGCTACTTCTACAACATGACCTGGAAGCCGGAGTACAACGAGTACTACTCCAAGACGCTCGATGTTCTCACATCGCGCTACGGCCCCATCTACGAGCTCTGGTGGGACGGCGCGAACGCCCAAGAGCATATGACGCACCTCTACGACTGGCAGGGCTGGTACAACATCCTGAAGCGCAATCAGCCGCAATGTCTGGGCGGCGGCTGCGGCGGAGACAACCACTCCTTCGACTGCGGCCCGGACATCTCCTGGGGCTGGACGGAGTCGGGCATGGGCAACGAGGAGAACTGGCACGTGCACGAGCCCTCGGTGGAGTTCCCGGGCGAGGAGCTGGTCTTCGCGCCGCTGTATCTGGACGTCTCCATCCGTCCCGGGTGGTTCTACCACGCCAACGAGCAGCCCAAGACGCTGGCGGAGCTGGTGCACATCTACTTCCTGAGCGTGGGGCGGAACTACCAGCTGCAGCTGAACGTGCCGCCGAACCGCGACGGCCTGTTCGACGAGCGCGACGTGCAGCGCCTGCGCGAGTTCGGCGAGTATCTGGACCGCACGTTCTCGCAGGACGAGGCGTGGAAGGCGACGGAGGCGCGCGCGTCGTCGTTCGAGCCGGGCTATCCGGCGGCGAACGTCGTGGCGAACGACAAGTTTTTGTACTGGAAGCCGGCCGGCGAGGTGGCGAGCGGGTGCGTGGAGCTGCTGTTCGAGTCGCCGGTGAGCTTCAATGTGGTGATGACGCAGGAGTTCTTGCGGCACGGGCAGAGAGTGGCTCATTACACGATCGCGGTGCTGGAGAATGGGGAGTGGAAGGAAGTGGCCAAGGGAACCACGATCGGAGTGAAGAAGCTGAATGTTCTGGAGAAGACGGTAACGACGACGGGAGTGCGATTGACTGTGCTGGACACGTGGAATGACTACGTGCCGGAAATCAGCAGAATCGGACTGTTTAACTCGGAGTTGTATTGGATTGTTTGTGAAAAACGTGAGAAAGGGGAGGAGTGTGTGGAGAAATCTGGCTAATGTGTGGATAGAACTGTGAAATAATGGAAAGGGAAATCAGGGTCCTGGCATGAAGAGAGGACGTGGTGAGTGTATTTTGTAGAATCAACAATTGTGATCGAAGGGAAGAATGGAGGAGCTCAATCATAGAATGCCGGCTGAAAGAAACAGGGAGTACGATTTTATCCACAAAAAACAGAAAAGAGAAAACACAAGACGACCATTCTGAACTTGCTACTCAGAAGAAATGGAATCAGAATCTGAAACAACGGCATTTTCAACTATATCAACCAAAACCGATGAAATATCTACATGATAAATGGGAAAATAGAGAAGATAGCATACTGGAAACAGATTTTGATTTGACAGATTCGAATGCATAAGGTAGATTGGCATTCCGGACATTCGGAATATCTAGTACACTCACGCTTAATACGATTTCTATGTACTCTCCAATGTCACAATACTGCACAAAGAAAAGCTATCTTCATCAGAATTGATGGATGTGAGATTTGGAAGATCTACAATCGATTATCTCAAATCGTGTTTATTAAATAATACTGCGCATTACCAATACACATGAGTCATCACCACTGCCCTGAAGTGTACCATAACCGAGTGTGATGGATTGCAATGATGGTAGATCTATACTACTCATTTCGCTCAACCTCATTTATACTTTCAAATACTGTGGTAGAGGATTGATGGAAAACCTCATTGCCAAAGTGAATAGACCGCAGATTGGGGAAATCTGAAAAGTAAATTCTAAAGCGAATTACAACCTCGAAGAATGAAAGATGTATGATAAAAATTAAAAGATTCTCCATCAATATCACCTATATGGATTGAATACAGTGAAGGGAGATTCTTCAATTCAAACTCCCCTGCAAAATTAATAAAACTACATCCCCCAATTTCAATCGATTCCAAAGATTCGCAGTTCACAATATGGAAAGAATTTGACGTGTTATCCTCAATGATGTTATACGAAAAAGAATGGTAACCAATTTTCAAAGATTTCAATCGATTTGATTCTGCAATGCGGAATACTTGTACTGAGTCAAAGCATTCACTGCCGATTTCGATTGATTCCAGTGATTTACAATTCAATATGTGGAACGAATTCAATTGATCACTAACATGAATTTTCTTATTCTGGGTAAATGAATTGTTTCCGATTTTGATAGTTTTCAATTGATTCAGTCCATCGATTTTGAATGTTTGCACTGATCCAAAACATTCATCGCCGATTTCGATTGATTCCAAATTATACAACAATGAAACATCCCAATCAATCAATATACAATTGTCACTCAGTTTCAAATGTTTCATTCCGATTTTCAGTGGTTCTGAACCATCTCCTTCATAATCAGTATCACATTCAATTCCATTATACCATTCACATTCATTCACTAATTTACCATATCGATCATACACTTTTCCTCTTCCAAATCGATTATCATCACACCAATATCCTTCATATTCAATACATCCATTATCATGATAACTCGTTCCATATCCAAATCGTTTCCAATTGATCATTATGCCCTTGTACAACAAGAATCCATCATCATCATACATTTCACCATATCCAAATGGAATTCCTTTCTTGTCATCTCCAATTTTCAATGTGGAACCTTCAAATCGAGCCCCATGATCCAAATCCACGATTCCTTTTTCTACTACAATGGATTGTTCTTCGTTATAGGAAATAGCACCAATTTGATGATTTCCAAACACTTTCAACACTTTCTCATCATCCATCGCAAATCCTTGATTCATGAATACTCCATTATCGAATTGCAATACTACACATTCTCTATTACTCAAAATGAGTGAAATCCAGCCATTTGGTTTCATTTCTTTACCCAAGTATATTTCCACAATTTGAATGATGGAACTATCAATATGATAGTTATTAATAGCAGAATTGACAAAATCAACAATCTTTTGCATGGAAATAACCATATGAAGAAATGGGTGGTTTCTAAACAACCTAAAATAAATATGTATATTGTGCTGATGCTGTTACTGTCCCAGCCTCAATTTGACGAAAATCAGACAAATATGTGTACCAATTATCCATTTAGAGTGACAAGCGAGTTTCTGTGAAAAACTAGCATTACCTATTAAGAGTATATTGACAGAATTAATTATCACATGATTTGTTGGTATTGGAAATTACTGGCCATGTCTCGAAAATAACCAATCTTATAAGCTATTCAACACGAGAATTGAGTAACATATACAATAGCTAACCAGTATAGAATAACAGTGATGGATTATTTCCAAAAGTGTCAAAACCACTCAAAACAAACAACAATATCAGAAATCAACGAATTCCAATCTGAACCTGTTCCCAAAGATATTACTCTACATATCTGACATATTAATTTAGATAACAAACTTTTCAGCAATCATTCTTAGTTCATCGATTATACTAACTTATTTGATATTTTTTATCAGTCACAATATTTATTTCTTTGCTGGATTTCACGAATATATATATACGTAATACTTTTGTCTATCCTAATTACCTATCAAATCGTGATGTAACCTAGATGGTTCTTTTCTATTATTCCCATAGATTCTCAAATTATCATCTATAAAAAAGAAGCATGGCAATGGCGTCCTTATAATAATAAATGGTGGCCGATTTTTCGAGAACTTTGCACCTTGACGACAATTCAACCTTTTTGTCGGTAGATGTAATCGACCGATTGACTTTGAGTCCTCATGATTCTTAGGCTGTCCGGTCGACAATCATCTGTCAGGAACCAGATTTCACGCAAAGGCATCAGTGACATTTGGGTACAAACAGCAGGGACACGATTCATCATGCTGACAAAGTAGCAAGGCAGCAAATGCAGCGGACGCCAAAGTGCATTATTGTTATTTCACGTCTTTAATATTGACCAATCGGTAATGCCCTAATGCGAGTGTATATATATCGTTGTCCTAGATCCAGCTCTTGTTATTTGCGCCGTCATGAGTGTCTTGGATTGCTTCTTCGTACTGATAATGAAACTCTGCGTTTTAATGCGCTTGAAGTACCATCGATTACCGCATCCTTCTTACTCTCTGCCTCAACCACAAGCTTGTGCAAATCGATGTTTTTCACGCTCACTCTCTCCAATCGGTTACCACATTCCATAGAACACTATTTGCAGCACTGTGTATTACACTTTTCTAATCAATCAGGCAATATATCTTGGATCTGAGACCCACGAACTCGATAATACCATGCCCATTGTGTTCTTCCTTCAAAATGGGTCCCGCTAGTTTCTTGTTGAAGTTGGGAATGATGACAGCGAAGGGAACTTGTTCTTGTCCACCTTCTGCTCGTAGTGGTTCACGAGTTGTCCATAGTAGTAACTCGTGTTAACCAATTCTGATATATCAAACGACTTGTACATCTCACACATCTTGTGAACGATGTTGCCTTTGTCAATCAGTTATACGATGAGCGATTCTGTGTTCTGTCCGAGTAATTCCACGTTATTGTATGTTTTCTTGAGCACATTGTAGTAGAGATCATAGATGATGTGCTTGGACATGTCCAGAATGGCGAACCCGATGAAGTATGGCTTTTCGACCTTGCGCATCGGTGTATTCAACTTGATACTGATCAGATTCTCTAAATACATGTTGGTTCCGGCAATTATGTCATGTCCATGCTTTTGGATGATATCCTCGCGTTCATTCCATGTGTTAGCGAACTTTACTTTCATTCGTTTCTATCCAGTTTCCACAAATATGCCATAGGTGGAATTTGCCAACAGCTTGTACAGGTTCTTCTCCACAATGGGATTGGACTTGGCTCGCTTCTTACTCAACATGTTCACATATTCGAATATGAATGGAGCTTGTCTGAAAGGTGTGTATGTCAAATCCTATGAACGAAATCAACCAAAGTAAAGTAAATTGAATCAATCAATGTCATACATATTCAGCAGCAATCCAAACAATTACACGTTCAAGAAGCTCGATAGCATGTTCATCAACATGCCCGAGAACGACGGCAAACATGTCCTCGTGTGTGAGACAGTGGATGGCGTTCCTCAATATTCATGGATAACACATTCTGGGTGTTTTGTGAAAGTCAATAATGCCACAATGTTTAAACATACACATACATCCACTCAACCATTCAATAATCAATGCCAATTCGTATTACCTTCTGCTTTATATCTCATAATCACATCGATTCCATGTTACAATGAGAATGATGCCCTATTCAAACATTGTGATTCCATCGAATCGATTGTGGGTAAGGGATACAAGGTGAATGTTTCAATGGATGGTGTGTCATTGCTCGATATGTCATTCGTCGATACACTCAACAATCTTGTGACCCTTTCCGATACCAAACTGATAAATGGAATAGATTGGACAAGTGAGAGTCATATGATCTCTGCATTCACGAATATCCCTTCTCTTGTATGTCTGGGAGGTGTGAAGAACATCACGATCGTTTTCCAACACTTGAGCGAGAATTCGATGTACTTTTGTTATCCCAACACTTTCTGTATCCATTTGTGTTGTTTGGAAGAGAAATCGATGAGATCGATGAAGTATATGTTTTGTTTGAATCCACTGATGATCATTCGAGTTGTACCTCTTCGTTTTGCTGGTTTCCATAGTTCCTTGATCTCATTCATGCTCCTTACACACATGGACAAATGAATCGCTTTATTCAAGGAATGAATAAGTTGTGTCAGAGGAACAATCACAAACTGGTTATAGACTCGAAATGCATTATCTCCACTATACACTACTTCAAATAGAGCATCACTCGCATTCAATATTGCGATGATTGTTTTGATATCATATGTACCTCGTGAAATCGATATTACACTTTCATCTATTCTATCTCCATTAATCACAATTACTTGATCAGATGGTACATTATGGAATGTGAAATCGGTATAGAATGATACAAATGATATGTAACACTAATCGAATGATAGAGGATTATCCAATTTTATCTCCTTCTTGCTCTATTGTGTCCAAATACTTCA